TAAAATTAAGTAAATTGTCTTAAAGCATCCAATCTTTAGTAATGGCTAAAAATCCATAATTATTTGTAGATATCCATGCATCTAGAACAAATAAAATTTTGCCTGAAATATTCTGTTAAAATATAAATACAAATATATAAAATATATAAGTTTAAAAAAAATATTATTTTCATGCACATTTAAAAACTTACTTGAAATAAATCTTTTCTTCTTTCTTTCTCTTCTTTATAACATTCTAAAATATCCTTTTTTATTGTGTCTGCTATTGGAACGGTTACAGTACGTTTCACTGAAATCCATTTTACTGAAACTCCCTTTGCTGAAGCCAATTCACTGAAAGAACATTTTGCTGAATGGTCACTTTGCTGAATGTTCATTTCGCTGAATGGACCTTTTACCGAAAAGAAGTTTTGCTGAATGAACATTTTACTGAGAAGACGCTTTACCGAAATGACATTTTGCTAAATCTGTTTTACCAAATGGACACTTCTCTGAATCTGTTTTACCAAAAAGACATTTCGCCAAAAACAAAAATAATTCGCTATTAGTTGTTAGAAACTTGCCAGATTAATTGAACTTTTTTCATTATTTCTAACGAAATTTTTAAGAAAAAACTTACTTTATAATATAGAACCTAAAAATGATAAGTTAAACAAATGTTATACAGTAGTCATTTTCAATGAAATATCCTTTCAGTAAAACAGATTTGACAATATGTCTATTCGGCAAAAAGGATTTGGCAAAACATCATTTTAGTAAAATAACATTTCAGTGAAGTGACCTTTCAGCGAAATGGTATTTCAGTGAAAACGTCTTTCCGTGAAAATTCCATTTGGTAAAGTGGTCGTTTAACGAAGAGTCTTTTAGTGAATTAGTTTTGACGAAGTGGGTTTTGATGAAACGGATTTGGCGAAACATCCGGATACCGTTGAAACTACTGCATCTGATTTAATACTTTTATCATATGTTAAAAATACTGATTTTCAGATGTTATAAATGGCTAATCATCAGCAACTACCCATTTAGTAAGAGAAGTACGAAATCAGTTTGTGTAAACTACATTTAAGAATAAGAAAATAATTAAAATATTATAGCTTTTTAACATGTGATTGATTGCTACTTACTTTAGGTGGAGTTTCTATTTGATCTACAAATCCATCTAAAGTACTTTGACCTTCAGCTATTAAAATTTTAGCTTTTTTTTGATTTTGGATCTTTATCTGGATGGTATTTCTCTAAATGACACCAAAGATTGGTTGTGTTTGAGTCACCAATTTTTCGTAACCAAGTTTTTTTATCTCTAGAGTTTTAAAAAGAATTATGAAATAATATACTAAGTTTCCAAGATTAAGTATATATTTTCAATTAAACTTTCCATTTTAAAAATTATTTACTTACGGACAGTTAAGACACCTAACTTCACGGTGTGTTTTCGCACTTTTATGCTCTGATGGAAGGTTTTTCTCCTCAAAGAGATTATTAGTAAAGAGTTCACTACGCAAACTTCTTCGTTTTCCAAGTTGAGATACTGGTTCAATAAGGTCAATAGTTTCAGACATATTTATATTTTTTACATATATAAGCCACAAACAAAGCTAAAATTTAGCGCGTAAAAAAAAACTTTTTCGTGTGGGAAAAATACGCGACAAACGAAACTAAAATTTAGCATAAAAAAACTTTTTCGTGTGGGAAAAAATACGCATCATCATAACGTCATCTCAGGTCACCCGTGTTGTTCTGGGTCAAAGCAACAGTACGACCCTAACCCGACGGGTCAGGTCATGCGGGTCACGAGTCATTAAAATTACCAATCCTGACTTGATTTAAAATCCAGGTCGGGTCGATCACCCGACCCTTTCTGAGCACTACTTAATAACCAACTATACAAAGAATCGTATAAAGTAAATAGTTGTTAAGACGGGCCTTAGTTAGATTAGATTTAATCGTTGTTTGGTTAACCTGTTTTCGGTTTAAATTCAGGTTAACACCGGTTAACAGACAAAATTAAACTAAAAGTGTGATTTAGGAAGTTGACCAAGCAAACAATGTAGAACTGTTGCATATCAAAATAAAATAATTAGATTGATTTATTGTATATTTGCTTAATAACCATAACGACACTTTAGCAATTTTGAAAATTTATCATATTCGATCGGTTCAGCTTGTAACATCAGATGGTAACAATTAGTTTAAGGTAAGTTCAGTAATGGAGGAAACTATTCTACTTTCGGGTTAAGAATAAGTTTTTAAAAAAAACTTATAAAATACTTTTTTTTTAAAAAAAAAAAACTTATGTCATAGGGAGATTTATAATGTTCGCAATTAAAAATTATTTTTGTAGGATATTACATTTGTTTTGCACTTCACCAGATATAGGTTAATCCACTACCGTTTTCCTGAACTCCACGTAGAGGTGGCAAGCTTCTTTCAGATTAAAAAAATTTGAAGCAGACCCATTTGAGGTGAAAATGAAAGTACATACGAATATAATAAGGTTATAAATATAAAAATAAAATTTCATCTCAAGAAACATAAATACGAAATCAATAAAAAAAAATTAAACTACAAAATACGGTTGAAGTGGCCAAAAAGGGAATTATTAAAATGCAGACAAAACAACCGACTTCATATAATAAATAAGATATATCATTATATTGTATCATTATTATCGAAATATAAGCACCCTAGTCAAAGGTGTATAGTAAATTTTTTTTTTAAAATAAATTTGAAAAAAACTAAACCTAATTACGTATGCTAAAACAAAGAAGGGAAAAGGGATAAAAACCATAGTCATAGGCAACGTAGATTTTAGGATGAACAAGAATCAATTGGCTGTGGCCATTAAATAGGTGGGTGAGTATAAGGGATTTCAACAAAAATGCCAGGTGGATCCATCGGCTCTGGCCACTTAGAAAAATGACGGATATGAGCAATATGGCGTGATGGGGAGGTGCTGAAACTACAGCTGTATAAGTAACGGGAGGGAAGAGAAGAACTGAAACAATAAGTGGGAAGGAACTGAAAAATGGGAGGAGAAGTGACAGAAGTTACAGCTGTAGATATGGAAACAGAAGAAGAGACAGTAGAAGAAGGAATAATTTGAAGTGGGCAAAGGCTTGTCGTGTTTGTCTCAGTTGTTATAATATTATTTATAAAAAATTTCTAAAAAAATTATTTTGAGTTTTTCTATAAAGATTGAACTGGTTGTATTAGTTCTGATATTCCCGACCTCGCCTACAAATCTAGGAGTGAAAGTTACAACCTAGAGACTTCTCATATCTCTTGAATTTCGTTTTGATCAATGTCTATTAAAAGCTCTTGCAACCCTAATTTGTGGTAGATCATATATATGTTCAAAGTACTATAATATTACAGAATTACGACATCTTATCTAAAATTCTTTTATCAATGCATGATGTTTAATTAATAACCATTTAATAATAATCAAGGTATTATTGGGGTATCGGAACTCTGATGAAAGTATAATATTAGTATAATATTTAATAACCCGATATGTTAATTTTATGTAGCTTATTATTAACTATTCCTGCCATAATTAAGATAATTATCGGGAATATAAAAATCTGTCTTTCAATAAGTTATCTGAATAAAATGTAAGACATATCAGGGTATTTCTAGGTGGTTGATATCTGTATAATACCTCATTATTGAACCAGTGATTTCCAAAGTAAAACAGTGGTATATATAGTGAAAAATATTCATTACTGATCAGCCGTAAAATTAGAAAATCCTTCTTCTTCATGAATTTTACTTAGAATTTGACCTAAATCGAAAGGAATCTGAAACTCATTTATCTTTTTTTGAATATTATTCAAGAAATTTGATGTCAAAATCCCTTTATTGATCCAGATTCGTTTTACTATTCATTATGTAATGCCTAAAAATAGGCAATGCATTAGATCGATTGTGATATATTTGATAGGGTCAAAATATGGCAAATATAATAATTCAGACCATCTTACGCTATTTTGCTTTACAAATTATTTTCGTGAAGCGTCTGAATTGCAGCGTCTCCATTCTAATGCATTCGATAATGCTTAATTGGATCTCGCATAATGAACCAATCATCGATATTATCTATTCTGGCAAAATTATGCTGATGATTTTCATAATTTGCCTTCTTTTCGCATCTATAACATGATACTAAGGCTGACATATTTTTCTAGTAGCTAGTACATCACATGAAATAAGAATTAAAGCTGCACGAATATTCTTTCCTTCAGGATGTTCATATGTTTTATCTATTGTAAATCCATCCCAAAGTGATTCCAATTCATTTACAATCAGTACTAAATAGTGATTTATTTTATATAAACTGACTTCTCTTGGTCTGGGTAAAAGACCAAGAGTCAGTAAATTTTCATATTTAAATTAGATATCATAAGATAAATTGCATATAGCGACATATATTACTCTAATGCTATAAATAGTACTACCATATAGCTGGAACTAGCCAAGATTTAGCATTAATTTAAGATGAGAATTGGTCACTTCATTTTGAAAAAAATTTGCTAAATCTTCTTGTGAAGATTCTTTTAACGTTTGCCACACTTTACCATCATATATATTAGTCATAATATTGTTAAAACACTAACAATTTGTTCATTGTTTCAGGCTAGTTTCAAAATTAGACTGACGATACATAGAATTGAGTTGTTATCAAATTCTAGAAAACTGAAAGATTAAATTAGATCAAATTAAAGTTTGATTTGTCGATACGATTTTTTAAGATAACGGAGTATTGCAAAATCGTGTTTTACAAATTGACAAATTAGAAAATTCTATATGCTAACATTTCATTACAGTTGGCATATTATTCTGTTGAAAATTCACCACTTCTTGCTTTTGATACAGCTTATGACATTTGGAACAAAAAATAAAATGGTGAAATCGGTCATTTAATCCAAGTGCTTTTTTCGTTAAGTATATTGAATTTAGAAATTTCTAAATTCGTCACCTCTGATTTCTATCAGAACCAATTTCATAAATTTTATTAATGTCTTAGTTACAAACTCTGTAATGTTAAATCTTGTCTGAAATGACATAATCCAAAGTAAAATTCACAAAAATCAGTTATCAATTGATTCTATATTTGGTGGATTTTGAAATGGTTCATAATCCAGTGGTGCATAATCTTCAAAAGTTTCAAAATCATCCTCTATAGAAATATCATTATTTTCAGATTCACCTGTAATATAATCTTTTTCAGTAATAAATTCTAAAGATTCTGAATGTTGATCAGCTTTTGTTTCAGGATCATCAGAAGAATTTATACCAGATTTTGAACAATTTGTATATTTTCTTATACGTCTCTGAGGTAAAAAGTAGAATCAAAATCTTCTTAATGTCCATCATCAGATTCATATTTGACTATTTCTATAATTCGTCTAGTCAAAATCGATGTTGACGATTCTTCCATTTTGTCTTGTATTCTTAATTGATAAAATGTATCCAAAATAGAACTTTGTGAATCTTAATATCTAACTCTAGTATTATGAGAGGTTAATGGTCTAGAAGTAGATATATTTTCTTCATCAGTTAAATTACCAATCGACCTACTTGTTCTTTTACGAGAAGATGTATTTGAAGATTAAAAAGTAGAAATATCTTCTTTATGGATTAATCTATGAATTGATCTATTTCTTCTACGAGAAGATGTATTAGAAGATTGACTAGATGATTAATCATCATCATCACCATGTAATTTAGAAATCAACCTTTTTTGGCTCATTTCTATTTTATAATTGAGAAATTAAGAAGAAAATAAAAGTTCAAAATGGAATTATTTTTGAAGATGATTTTAGTTGAATTTTATATTTTTTTAAAAAAATGCAGTAGTTTCGCAAATATTTATATTATTATACTAAACTATTGTTTTCCTTTT